TGCTATGAGGAGGAACAACTCCACCCTTCTCTGTGCAACCCCTCCACTACCATGCCAGCGAGTCAAAAGTGCAGCAGAAAGGCAACATTTCAGTCATGCTCTAGAACCCCCATTTGCCCACCAGGGAAGGGCAAGCCTACATACCGCTCAGCGTCCCGGGCTTGCCGTCCCTCTCTGCGGGCTGTGCATGTGCTGGGGCATCCTAGGGAGCTGGGACACCACGTGCTTGGTGGCGTGGCTGCCCAGCCCAGCCTGGCCAGGCCCTCAATGACTCAGGACACCTCCCTTGTCTCATTGCCTGACATGGGGCTGGGCACCCAGCATGCTGTTCTGCAGCCAGCAGTGCCATAGGAGGGGAAATAGAAAGTGATTCCTGGAGCCGTAAGCTCACACGTGTCCTTTCCAGGTTTTATCCACTTTGGCACTTTCTGTATTGCCACATCAAAAGAGGAGAACCTTTTTGAGGATGGGCACCATCCTGACCCTCTGCACTTGCAGTAAACCAGCACCTCAGGAAGTGTGGCTGGTAGAGTGCCACAAAGGGAGTGGATGGGCACAGGGTGAATCCAGAATAACCTGATCCAGTGGGTTTTCCCCTGGATGTGCTCCATGTGTGTGTGCCTGTCCCGAGCACTGCTTCACTGCCTGTTTTTTGCAGCAGGCTGGAGGTTCCTTTTTCAAATCAGCATTTGTTTATCCAGTAACAGTCCTGAACTTCAAAGGAGTCCAGAGTTAACTGTGGATATAGATTTAGGCCATTTTCTTTTTAATCATTTATTGTTACTATGTTTCTGAAAGTAGAAATCAGTCCTTAGAGACTCCAGCCCTGCAGTTAGCTCTAGAGGCCCTATACATCTTCCAGAGTTGAACCTCATTTATCTGGTAGCTGAAAACAACAGTGTTCACATTCCTTATTCCTTTTCTTTTCCATTCCCACCACTTAGAAGAACCAAACAGCTTCCCTTGGAGCTTTTAAAGCAATTTTCATCCAAGAGCCAGTGGAGGAGATGCAGGGCCAGCAGCAGCAGCAGCATTGCCTTTCCCATTCCTTATTTCTTTTCCATTCCTATCACTTAGAAGAACCAAACAGCTTCCCTTGGAGCTCTTAAAGCAATTTTCATCCAAGAGCCAGTGGAAGAGATGCAGGGCCAGCAGCAGCATTGCCTTTGGGACTGCAGCTTGCAGAGGGCTGGAGTGGAGCTCCTATGAGACTACTGCTGCTCCCTGCTAATTAGTTCACTACCTGAGGCTGTTCTCTCTGTGAAACTATGTACAGAGCTTTGCTTTGCTTTCCCTTGGCTTTGGCCACTGTTGCTGGGCAAGAGGTGCAGGGGGTTATGGGCTGTACATGGGAGAAAATTGCAGCCTTTACACCAAAACCTTCCAGACAGGGAGCAGAAAAGCAAACACACACCCAAGGTTTGCACTGGGATAATGACTGCCCTCGGAAGGAGATTTTAACTGTGGGGAGAGCCTGGGCTTAAAGAGTGCAGTCTAAATCAAAATCCTCCTCCCTCTCTTGGGAAATATCCTTCCTATCAGTTTGTTTAGCTGCTGGCAATAACTGGCTCAGCTCAATAACAAAGTGCCCCAAGGCCTGGTGCATTGCAGTGCATGTCTCTGCTCTTTACCCCTGCTTCCTGCCCACACAGGAGGTGGCCCATGGCATGGGGCTTGGAGATGCCTGTTTCACAATGAATTTCTCCTCCTGCTTCAAGGGACGTGATTCCCACTGGGTTCGCTATGGAAGCAGAGATGTTGCTGCTTGCGGAGGAAGTGGCAGGGCCGGGAGCCGCATCATCCCAAGGAAGAAACCTTGTGTGAAATGCTTCTGCTGTCTGTAAGTGCCCATTTCATCCAAGAGGTTTCCTGGAAACCAGAGGAAAGGATGGTGAGCTTTGTGCTTTCCCTGGGGGAGGTGGCTGTGGCACAGCCCTGGTGCTGGTGTGGGGAACCCTTGTGTCCTGTCCCCACATCCTGTGGCAGCCCAGGGTTTGCCCATCCACTGTGGCACACAGCAGAAAGGTGCTTTTAAATCACATACAACGTTTGTGAATGCATCAAGTGCTGGGAACAGGGGATCAGCTTGGTCTCGACTCGGCAAACAATTAAGTGGTGCAGTGCAATGGAATTACATCAGTCTTATCTGCAGCTCCTCCAGGAGGTTTCCGCATGATACAGAGAAATTAGGACAAAATTATAGATGTAATATCAAAAAGCTGCTGGGTGGGGAATGAATAATCTGTAGTGCAAAGTGCACTGCGATGAGCGCGATGGTAGATTTGGCAGGAGTGAGCTCTTTGCCTCTTCTTCCACCTCCCTCCTTATTATCCCTCCTGGCTGCATGGGCCCTGTGCGGGACCTCAGCATTTTGGGTGCTGGTGGCTCCTGCCAAAAAAACCACAGTGGCTGCAGGATTGTCCCTCCCAGGAGCCGTGACCTATGAAAGCTCAGCACCAAGAAGATGCTCCCCCTGAAGACCCCTTGTGTGTGGGGCTCTGCAAGGACAGGCTGCTTTGCAGGAAGGTGTTTGCTGGGATAAATTCATGTCAAATTCTCCTAGGAAAGGTCTGGCCAGTGCCGCATGGCAAACTTTGTCCTGTGAAGTGCTGTGGCTGTATGGTTGCAGATTGCTCGTGCCAGGCTAAGCCACGTGCCACAGCTGTTAAATGCAGCACCTTTAAAAGGAAACAGCCTGTCACTTCTCTCTTTATCTAGTGCTAAATATGACTTGTGTTTCCTGCTCGCCGCATGTGAGAGGTGGATGAGGATGAGGGTTGTCCCTACAGTCCACGTCTCCTGTCTGTGCCACTTCAAGGGATTATTCCCCCACTGATAAACCATCCTGCTCCAGTTATCACCTCTCCCATTTTTACACAGGTTAATTCACTAACTGAAGGTGAATCATGCCAGCAAACTGGCTTCACCAGCATCCTGGTGACCGAGCATCTGGGTGATACACAGGTGGGAATACCTTGAGCTGGCTGGGCTGGAAGAAGAAATGGGTGAGGACAAAGTCTGACAGGAGGGATGCTATAACAATATTGAGCAAAAGGTGAGAAAAGCAATTTCACAAGAGGAAAGGGGTTGTTGGTGCTGGTGGGTGTCTCCTGGCAGCACAGTGATGCTGGCTATTGGGGGTGCTGTTGTGTAGCGCATCCACTGTGCCCGCTGCATCCCTGGCAGCACAGCCCACTGACGCCGGCTTTGCTGCTGGAAGAGAGGAATAAATAAGGGAAATCATAACTGCTTTTGCCATTAAAAGAGAAATTAGCTCGTGCAGTGCTAAGCCCTCAGTCTGCGGGCCCAGCGCAGCCAGTCTGGTTTGATTGTGTCCCAGGACTCCTCTGCAGCCCAACAATGACAAATACCAGGAATTAACAGAGTGTAATTACTCTCTATTAGCTGAATTCACAGTATAGACACAGACCATAAACAGTCAATGATTATTCCTAATTTCACATATTTAGCAATCTGAATTGCAACAATTATGCCTGTCAGAGAGAATTAGTTTCTTTTTCAATACCTTGGTTCCCCAGTCACTGCCCTTTAAGATTCATCTTTACTGCTGAAAAAAAGAGGACATTAAACACAAATCCCTCCCTACTTCTACAGCAAAATGCCCTCTCTCCCCCCCCGCCCCGCCCCTCCAGTCCCCAAATCCCTGTGGCTCTGCAGCCCCAAACTTATTCTTTTTGCTGCTAGCTGCCTCAAAACACAGAGAGGTGCCTGGTGTGATCTGTAACCCCCTGGGCCACAGTTCATTTCACCCAGGCTTGTTGCAGGGGCATTAGCAGCCCTGGCTCTTGGGTGTTGCAGAGATGTCCATGGGAATGGGCCTCGGCAGCACCAAAGCTTGCTATCCATCCCCTGTTGCAAGTTGGTGCTACACAGCAGTGTTTGTGTTTTAAGCATTCTCTCCTTTTCAAATCATGGTTGCAGGCCAGGACCTGATTTCCAAATGCTAATTCGCACCTGCAGTGAAATCATGCTGAGGTCTTCAGCCTAGCAATGACTGAGCCCTCCCCAGACAAGATGTGTGAGAGGGGCTGGTGCAGACCTCAGTATTTCCTTGTTACAGGCTACAAGTATTAAGAAAAGAGAATGTGAATATAAATTATTAATATTTGCATGGGAAATTTCTAGCCCTATTAGAATCATATCATTAAAATTGCTTCTTATGCACAGGCAGTGATTTCATCACAAAGTGTAGCGGAGCATAATGCCAGCACTGCACAACGATTTTGTCAATTAATGATGAGAGGGGGAAAAGATCCCATTGCTTGTTTACTGATAGCAGTGCCTTTGGGACCCTTCCTTTTGCATTGTTCCTAGTAAATACTGAGGGGTTGTCCTGGGTTCAGCAGTAGCAGTCATTTTTCTCCTTCTTGGTAGCTGGTGCAGTGCAGTGTTTTGACTTTTGGCCTGGTAACAGAGCTGGTAACAATGATGTTTTGGTTTGGCCAAGGCCTTTGTGAGCCTTGTGCTCTGCCAGGGAGGAGGGGAAGCCAGGAGGAATCAGAGACAGGACACCTGACCCAAACTGACCAAAGAGGTATTCCATACCACAGCACATCATGCCCAGGATGTAACTGGGAGTTAGCCGGAAGGGCTGGGAGACTGCAGGGTTGGAGGAGGTATGGGTCAGAGCTTGGTCGGGCTTGGGGGGCGAGTTATTGGTCGGCTGGTGCTGAGGTGTTGTATTCCCTTCCCTTGTTATATCCTTTATCATTATTATCATTGGTGGTAGCAGTAGTGATTCGTGTTATACCTTAGTTACTAAACTGTTCTTATCTCAACCCGTGGGAGTCACATTCTGTTTGACTCTCCTCTCTGTCCCTCTGGGAGTTGGGGGTGTGAGAACAAGCTGTCTGGTGGGTTGATGGGTGAACACCACTGGCCATGTGCTTGCTTAGATGCCCTAGGGTGTGAGACTGTGTTGAGTGTTTATGGTAAGAATGAGGGGGGAAGCCAAGCAGATATGGTGGGACTGTGTTACAGGCCACCCAACCAGGATGAAGAGGCTGATGAATTATTCTATAAGCACCTGGAAGAAGTCTGACAGTCACCAGCCCTTGTTCTCAAGGGGGACTTCAACCCACTGGATGTCTGCTGGAAATATGACACAGCTGAAAAGAGACAGCCTAGAAGGTTCCTGGAGAGTGGAAGAGAACTTCCTGACACAGCTGGTGAGTGACCCATCTAGGGAATTGAATTGAATATCCATGGATATTAGAAAAAATATCTTTACTGAAAGGCTTGTCAAGCATTAGAACAGGCTGTCCAGGGAAATGGTGGAGTCACCGTCCCTGTTGATACTTCAAAGACAGACAGATGTGGCACTTAGGGATAGGGTTTAGTGGTGGACTTGGCAGTGCTGGGTTAACAGTGGGAGTTGATGATCTGAAAGGTCTTTTCCAAACCTAAACAATTCTATATTTTATTAAGGGATGAGGGTCTGAGAAGCTTCTGGTCAGAAGCACTTCCCACTGCTGACATTGGGCAGGGAGTTATTTATTCCAGGCAGTGGCTGAGGCCACCAAACAGCAGCAGCAGTTTTTTATGGCACCCATTCCTAGAACACTGCAGAAGGATTATGCATGCTTCCACCACACCAGCTTTTCATTAGATTGAAGGCAGGGGTTAAACTGATCCTTGTCAGCACAAATATAATGCCCTGGGCGATGAGAGCAGCATAAATTGAGGACAAGAGGTGGCCACTTTTACCACTGCTCTCAAGATTGCTCTGCTGGTTTACTGCGTCATTTGCTTTTTATTTGGGACATTTACCTCCATTTTTTGCCAATGAGGTACAATAAATTAATGGGCTAATATACCGACTCTGAGGGGAGGTGAAGTGCAGAGCAGTGACTGCACCAAAGCTCTTTGAACCTCCTTGGTTTGCCACAATAGCACCAGTTTTGGTACAGCTTCCCCAGTGTAGGGACACGGGGGATGTCCCACAATGGTGAGAGGCTTGCAGGGGTACATGTCACACAGGTGATTTGCCTGTTTGTCATCTCTATTTTGTCCAGGATACTCATGTATTAGCAGGAAGTGATGGTCCTTGTGGCTGGGTCAGTGGGGTGAGTTTATCTGTGGCAGTTCTGATATTGTCTGTGACACTGAAAAGCAATATTCAAAGGAGCACACAGTAATCCTGCATGCCAGGCTGGCCAGATTTGCTTATTGGTTATCCAGAGCAGGCAAGGACTATGGGGATGCAGCATCTGAATGCTCCAAAACCTCCTGTTATATGCTGTAATAACAGTGAGCCATTAAGGGCTGCTCATGTGAGGAATAGCAGTGAGAAACACAGTGAAATTGAGGTTGGGATATGGTTTGGAGGAGACAGACCCTGCTTGGGGCCTTAGCTGCTCTCTGGCCCCACAGAGGGGACTTTGCAGGGGTTCATTTTCTTCTTTTTCACCTCCCCCATGAAAAGCTTGTGCAGGCCAGGTCTGGTGTATGTGATAGGGTTGTGCAGGGGGCTGCTGGCATCTGGTGCTGCAGCAAATTGCAGTAACATATCCTGTAGTTATTGATAGATGTCTCTTGATTTGCTGGATGCTGTGGAGTGAACCCTTGGAGCCTAACCCATTGTTCTCACAGGGGTTCCTCTTTGGATGGAGAGCACTGCATCCTTGTGATTTTTGTGTAAGCAGCACATGCTGATTTGGACATCCTCCCTTGCTGCAGAGGTTAGGTGGGGATACGGTTTCCACCTAGAACACTATTAGAAAGACAGCATGTACACACGTCTTGCAGAAAACCAGAAAAGCCTTCTGGCTGTAGCTTCTAGGTACAGGTATAGCAATATGAATTGCCAACTTGTTCAGATGAGTAAAGAAGTGTGACTAAGCAGGTAAACCCAGTGGCCATACGTGGTAGTAGCTTAGAGCAATATAACAGCTCTCATGCCTTCAGGAGCTGTTGCACAGGCTTTGGACTTGCAGTCTGAGTCAAAGGTATTGACTCTGGTCTGCCTGAATCTAGTTTATGCTAAAGTGCAGCCTTAAAGCCTGTGGCTGCCAGTCTGAGTTGTGTGAAGCCCCAAAACCCTGCCCTCTGTGGGGGTCTGGCACCCCACCTTGGGACGGCAAGGCAGTGGAGGGTGAGTAATGAACTAATTCAGCTGTCCTGTTATTTTTACTTGCCTACAGTAGTAGCTGATTAATTAGAGATCTCCCACCCCAGTCCACCAACTTCCCTGTGCTTGCAGCAGACAAAATCCTGCCTTTGTGCTGCGGCTGGAGCTCCCCAGTCCAATAACCGTTACATTGCAGGCAGAATGTATCTTTAAAAAATGCTATAGAAATTAAAACTGTCCAGTGAGAACAAAGCCAGTGGGGCTTTTTGCATCTACTGTTTTTTATTGTATTCTGTGGCATTTATAAAGTAGATCCTGGGAAAGCCCAATCTTTCCTCCCAAGCTTGTAATTCCTATACCTCTTCAAGAAGATTTCTGCTCACAAAGGAGATAAAAGATAGCAATACAATGTTCTCTGACATTTGAACATGCTACTGAGAATCTGAATTAAAAGGAGCAAACTCAGAAAGTATCAATACAGCGATTGACTTTTTAAAGTCACCATCTGCTAAGAGTTACCACCCGGTGTAACTGCGTCTTCATTGCTAGGCAGAGAATAGGAAATAACTCGGGGAACTCTTCTGCGCCTGCTGGGTTTTTCTTGGTGCTGCGCGTGCACTGAATCACGGTGGCTGGCGTGCCGCAGGGTGCCTGTTGCACAGCTCCTTTGACTCCAACTCGCTACACAGTATAAATCTGAATACCAGTGCTATTAGGAGGAATGATTTGGGTGTGTTACAGTTAGAGCATAGTGTCAGCTATCTGCAAAGTCTAAAGGGCAAAAAACCAAACCAGACCTCGAACAAGGGACCCAGCTTGGGTTTGTATAGAGAAACCTGATTATTTCCGGCTTGCTGCTCACTGACCCCCACCCCAATGATATATCCTGGCCTCTCGGAGCCCTTCCTAGTCTTGTGTTCTGGTTTCACCATAGAGTCATAGAATAGTTAGGGTTGGAAAGGACCTTAAGATCATCTAGTTCTATTATCAAATTCTTTGCCCTGTGCAACTTGCCTAATGCTTTTTTGAGTTTTTGTCCTCATTTTGGTCTTCCAGTGCTCACAGTCTCCTAGGAAGGTTGTGAGCTTTTTGACACAAAAAATTCCCATCAAATTTGTCTTCCACTAAGCCCAGTATGTGTGTTCAGGTGATGCTTTGCATAATGTAACCCTCTCTGCTGCTACTGCCCTGTGTTGCTCTCTCTGTCTTGGCAGTTGTGCTGGTTTCCCTCCTACCTCTCCATGCACAAGACTCAAAACAGGGCAGTTAGTATATTAATTAATCTACTAAATTAACTGTGGTTTGTTGTGTACAGACATACCCTGGGCTTGGCAGAAGGGTGGCCAACACATGCTCTGATGACAAGTATTTCCAGCCTGACTGTGGGTCTGGAGTGCTTGAACCCCTGGAGCTTGATGGCCAGTGCTGCAAGGTGAGTGTTTTCTGCTGTTCTTCTATCATAATCGCTTATATAACCTTATTTATTGCAAAATGAAATAACTCCTTAAAAGCTGAATGTGAATCTCATGTGAAGCACATAACCACCATGCCCAGGGGCAATTGCCAAGTGCCAAAATGGTCTAATACGGATTCTTACAGAATCTCTAAGAGGAAGTATTTATTTGTGGGGCTTAGGAAAACAGGTTCTGAGCTGATTCTCATTTTTAATATGTTGTCCTGGGTTCAGCAATAGCAGTCATTATTTCTCCTTCTTAGTAGCTGGTGCAGTGCTGTGTTTTTGACTTTCAGCCTAGGAACAACACTGATAACACCAGTGTTTTTAGTTGCTGCTTAGTAATGTTTACTCTGACCAAGGACTTTCTGAGTCTCATGCTCTGCCAGGAAGGAGGGGAAAAGCCGGGAGGAAGCACAGACAGGACACCTGACCCAAACTAGCCAAAGATGTATTCCATACCACAGAACAACATGCCCACTGTATAAATCAGGGGTAGTAACCCAGAAGGGCTAGATCACTGCTTGGGTTGGGCTGGGTATTGGTCGGCAGGTGGTGAGCAGTGGTATTCTCTTTCCTTGTTATTTCCCTTATCATTATTATAATTGGTGGTAGCAGCAGTGATTTGTGTTATACCTTAGTTACTGAACTGTTCTTATCTCAACCCATGGGAGTTACATTCTTTTGATTCTCCTCCCCATCCCCCGGGGAGCGGTGAGGGGGGAAGAAGGGGAGGGAGTGAGAGATCAGCTGTGTGGTTCTGAGTTAAGGCTGGGCTTAAACCACAATACATGTTTACCCAAGAACTGTCATCTCCAGAGTGCTGTGTTTTCTGATTCAAAGGTGATACTCCATCCTTCTGAAAGAAATGCCTTCAGCTGATGGAGAAATTATATGCATCTCTGGGATAAGTTATTCTTTTGTACAAGATCAAATAGGGACAGCCAGGGTAATGAATGAATTCCATTTTATTTATTTGAACAGTATTTGTATCAGAAGACCAAGGTACAAATAAAAATGAGACAAAGGTCAGAGTTCACATACATGGCTGAAGGAGGGAACACTTAGGCTGAGAAAGTTGGGGCTGTTCAGCCTGGAGAAGAGAAGGCTGCGCGGAGACCTCATAGCAGCCTTCCAGTATCTGAAGGGGGCCTATAGGGATGCTGGGGAGGGACTTTTCCTTAGGGACTGTAGTGACAGGACAAGAGGAAATGGGTTAAAACTTAAACAGGGGAAGTTTAGATTGGATATAATGAGGAAATTCTTCCCTGTTAGGGTGGTGAGGCACTGTAAGATGTTGCCCAGAGAGGTTGTGAATACTCCATCCCTGGCAGTGTTCAAGACCAGGTTGGACGAGTCCTTGGGTGCTACGGTTTAGCGTGAGGTGCCCCTGCCCATGGCAGAGGGGTTGGAAGTTGATGATCTTAAGGTCCTTTCCAACCCTAACTATTCTATGATTCTGCTGGAAAATCTTCAGAGATCCACAAAGGGTAGTGGATACAATGGTGACCACGCAGTTAAATTACCCCACATGACACAATCTTGGCAAACACACTCACAGGAAGGTCACTGGCTGAGGAGGAATGCTCAAAGGAAATTAAAATTGGCTTGGCACTGGGGAAAATATGCCTGAGCTCCATGGCAGCTGTTACCAAGTGAAGGAAAGCAGGCAGCAAGGCACGCCATGTCTCCCTTCCCTGTAAGTCAGGAATGGCAAAAAGGATCTACAGAAAATGACATAGGATGCCTGGGTGTACACTGGACAGTGGCCTAAAATGTTTTATTACCATACATAATATGGTAGTACGTTAGCATAATAAACCAGACCTTGGAAGTATGATGGGCTCAGGCCCAGGTGAGCCCAATTTAATGACACAAGGTTCCTTGCTAGTCTTACACTACCTGCAATTCCTGATGTCATAGTTTCTACAACAAAAGATATGTTTTTTTTTTTTCCCTGAAAATCTAGAAGAAACAGAGGAAAAATAAAATCACCTCACAGTACGTCGAAAACCACTTTTCCCTGGTAGCTGGCAAAGGGGACTTGTGCAACCCCATTTTGCCCTGAGCTGTCAGGCAGCCGCTTCCACATGTTACACTCACAACTGGCCGCTTCATATGCCTTTATAACTTTAGGCTCTTCAGCCTGAATCTCAGCTTTTAACTGGAATGTCTTACTTCCTCAAGCCTTGGCATAACTCCTGCCACAAGGAATTTGGACTTTTACACATAACTCTGTATCTATAGTTTCAAGATAAGATCATGTGAAACCACATATAATGAACTGTATGTAGTTTCTGTTGGCTACAGAGCTCCCCAATAGCTTTTTAACCTTTCTTTTGCTATCATCATCTCTCTTGTGTCCTTGTTCTATTAACTGTTGTTATTTAATAACCTGTAGCTCAGTTTTAGTATTATTGTTTTCCTTATCTCCAGCACCTCAGAACTCCAACCGGTGTAATCCAGTGCATGATAGAGCCACACTGGCTGTGATTTCTTTGAAGATCCTAAGGTAAAATGAGAAAGCCAAATACATCTTATAATTGATTTAACCCATTCCCTTCCTCGGCAAAAGCAAGGTACCTTTTGGGAGCAAAAGCAAGGAAGTTGAACAGGGTGATGGTGGGCTGGGACACTGCAGAACCCATCAGTGGCTCTGCACTTTCAGTTCATGTATTTCATCATGCTCTGATGGGCTCTCTGTGGAAACATTAGCATGCACTTTGAGGAACAAAAAGGTATTCCATTCCTTTTTTTTTTTTTTGTGAAAAAGCTATAAGGTTTCACAAAGAAATGCTATGATCAAAAAAGCAGTCGCTTCAAGGAAAGATCTTCTTTGACTGGTATCTCATTATAAGGACCAGGATTAAACTGGTTCCCCACGACCTTCTTCCCAAAGTTTTTTGAAGCTATCAGGAGGTGTTTGCTTGCTCTTGACAGTGATGTTAAACTAATGGGGCTGTCCTTCTCATTTCCTTCTCTGAAAGAAGAATGCCAGACCTGCAAGTCCATTCTAATTCCTTAAAAACCAGCGACTCGGACGTGGCTCTCTGGCTCACAGCTTCCTACTGAAACGAAACCAAACCCACTTCACACAATGAGGATGAAATGTCAGACTTTCCTCAGGAGTTGAGTTCTCTCTGACCCTGCACAGGGCTGGGTGCCACAGCGCCATTTCACACAGCCACCCTCTTCCTTGGGTGCCCTGAGGGAGACCCTGTCGGGGGCCAGCGCTGCCTCCTGTGCCAGCTGTGGCCAGGTTTTATTCACTTAGCGCTGGACAGGGAGGGCCGCGGGTGCCACAGCCACAGCCAGGAGACCGTCGCCCCTCCGCAGAGCCGCCGCTGAAAGAACAGGAATTAACGGGCGAGGCCGCAGCCACACACAGGTACCGGCCGCCCGCCATGATTGATCGGTCGAGCCACGCCCCCGGCATCGCCATTTTAACCGGTTCCCACCGCCCACCTGGCCTCCTCCTCGCCCTACGCCGAGCCCCGGGCCCGCCCGCTCCGCAGGTGAGACCCGGCCGGGGGGGGCTCTTCGGGCTGCGCAGCCCTGGTCCGCGCTGTGTCCGCGGGAGAGCTCCGGTGGCGGAGGGGCGGGGAGCCGGTCCGGCTCTGGGTGCCGGTGCCGTGGCGCTCGGAAACGGGTCTGTGGGGACGCCAGGGCTTGAATCGTGGATTTTGTGTCAAAACGTTTTGCGATCGGCGTTTTATGGAAGAGAAGACCTGGGGTTTTGTTATTGTCTTCTTAATTCTGCGAGTTGTGTGTACGTGCTGGCTGTGCTGCTTGTCACATAGGAATGCCAGTAACGTCAGTATAAGTTATTAATGGTCTGCAAAAGCATTGCCGCACAACAAAGTTCTGAATAACACAGCCTGGCTTTAAAATATAAAAGTAAAAGGTGGAAAGTAATCTCTGTTACATAGAGATTCCTGATTTTCCTGGGGAGCCACTTAGTACAGTGCAAGTCTTACTCAAAGGCGTCCCGTGGGGGGGGGGAAGGAAAGCTCTACCCCGTTGACCGGTTCCAGGAGTCAAGGGTGATATCTGATTGAATTTTATTACCTTCAGGGTGGAGCTTGAGTGACTGTAGGCATACATACCTGCTTTTAAAGATTTAAATATTCCATAGGTGTGTGGAATTCACTTTGTCTGGAAGACATACTAAAACCCTTCATATGATCTCTGCTGGTGTTAGGACAGAGTGTGGCCACAGAATCTTTGCTCTGCTCCATTCTCTGTCAGTGTTGCCATGGGAGCCACTGTGGAGTGCATATTCCTGGCATACCAGGTGTAGCTGCACCTTCCCCTTAAAGTCTGTTTTTCCTTTATGTGTGAACAGTGCTACATTTTAAATATAAGTTTGATTTCTAATTATTCCAAAGCTGGCTGTGCTGCTTGTCACATAGGAACGCCAGTAACGTCAGTATAACTTATTAATGGTCTTTCTGCCCATTTGTTACGTTAACTTGTATTTTGACAAAATATATAGTGGTGTTACAGACCCAGCTTTAAATATTCCATATGTGGAATTCATTTGTCTGGAAGATACTAAAACCCTTCATGAGTGATAAAGTGCTTTCTCTGGTGTGTCCCGGCCTACCATAAATCAGCACTGGCTTTGGGCCCATCATGGTGAGTTACATGTATTAACAGTCCTGGATCTAAGCGTATATTCCCTACCAAAAAAAAAGGTGTGTTTGTGTCATTTTCAATGCAAATCAGTAGGAGGTGCAAATTCACTTTATGTTGCTTCACACTTTTGACTTTGGAATAGAAAATCCTAAATAAACACAGCTTCTTCAACAGTGGGGTGTTGACGATAGAAATGTATTCATACTCTTACGTAAGTTAAGTCTCTTAGCTTAAAATGGACTAACTGACTGTGAAGGTTTGTAGGACTGTATGAGTCTGTCCATCCCTCACTCCCTTGGGGTTAGAACACTGCTTAGTGCTAAGTAACTTAAAGAAGCATG